ACCTGGGTGGTTCCATTGGTTGGGCATCTGTCTTCGGCTCAGGTCATGATCTGGGGGTCCTGGGATCGAGCCCTGGCTTGGGCTCCCTGCTCAGCGGGGAGTCTGCTTCTCCCTCTGCCTCTGCCTCTCCCCCTGCTCATGCTCTCTCGTGTGCTCGCTTTCTCTCTAATAAGTAAATAAAATCTTTTTAAACAATTAAAATGTTATTGGAGAAATTGAACATGATTTGGTAGAGAAAGAATTTATATGTTAGAAGACTTTAGTTTCTAGCTATCAATTAGCTTCATAACCTTATACAAGATCTTCATTTCTTCAGTCTTTTTCATTTATAAAACGGAATCTGAGGGTGATGGTGGGGGTGTGCTATAAGAGAATATAACTTTATATAGTTTCTTAGTTTGCTTTCCCTGAATTAAAGAGTCTCTGATTCTGGGATATGCCATTCCTATGGTTTTTGCCATTACTTGCTCGTCCCTGATTGCAATTCTCTGTTATTCCCAAATAAACCCATTTTTGCTGGTAATCTTAGTTTGTATAAATGGTATTACATAAATGGTATTGACCTGTTGTTTTCCTCCCTGTTTGAAAATCTCTGTCACTACCTCCAATTAATTGCTTCTGCCTGCTGATGGGACACTGTGATGTCCACCCACCACATTTCATCTATCCTCTCTCCCAGTGACAGATACCCATATTACCTCCACACTCCCCTGCTGTCTCCAGGAACATCCCCTTAAGACCTGTGTAAGAATTTGTTAGGATATTTCCAAGAGCAGAATTGCTGGTGTGTAGAATATGTGTATGCTTAAGTAGTGTCAGCCTTCTCTCCAGAAGGATGCACAGGGATTCCTATGGCATCTTCCTCATATCTCCACTAAGGCTTAATGATATAGCTTTCAGATATTTTCCAGTCTAATAGTGAAAACTGGTATCTCACTGTAATTTGCATTTCCATAATTACTAATGAACTTGAGCATTTCTTCATATGTCTGTGAGACTTGAGTTTTGTGTCTTTTGACCAGATTTCTATTGAGGTTGCTAACCTTTTTCTGCTTCTCTATATATTAATTCCCTGTTTGTTTTAAATATGCAATTATTTTTTCCTGTTGTATTTTCTCTTTGTCAGTTTAAGTCCAGAAAGTACCTTCTATTCTAGTTTGCCAACAGTTTGGGGTTTAAAAAAAAAAAAAATCATAAATAGATATTGTACCTTCTCAAATGCTTTTCTCTATTAACATAATTTTCCAGCTTTTCTGCTTTAATTTATCAATGTGATAATTTCCTTGAAAAAATTCCTGATATTTAACTATCCTTGCATTCCTGGAATGTGCCCTTGTCCATAATATATTCTTAGGTTGAATCATATAAAATTGCTGTTTCTTATGTCAGAAATGGTGAAATACTGGCTATATCATAGAGATCAAGTTAATATTTTCAATATGCTCTCAATTAAATTTTTTAAAAAATAATTTTACGTCTATGACCCTAAGTTAAATAAGACTGTAATTTTCTTTTCTTGATTTGTCTCTGTTTTTGGAAGGAGAATCAGGATTATACCAGCCTCAAAATATGAAGTGGATACCCCCCCACCCGCCGTGTTCTGGAACAGCTTACATGGATAAAATTCATTAACACTTGAAATCTGATAGAATTCAAATATAAAAATATCTAGAACTGTGGGGGGTTTGTTACTTCTTTTAAAGGGACTATCCTTCACTATCATTTCAGTTTTTTGTTGTTGTTTTGTTTTTTAAGATTTTATTTATTTATTTGACAGAGAGAGACACAGCGAGAGAAGGAACACAAACAGGGGGAGTGGGAGAGGGAGAAGCAGGCTTCCCGCCGAGCAGGGAGCCTGATGTGGGACTCGATCCCAGGACCCTGAGATCATGACCTGAGCCGAAGGCAGACGCTTAACGACTGAGCCACCCAGGCGCCCCCATTTCAGTTTCTTTAATACTTACTAGTCTATTGCAGTTTTACATTTATTCTTACACTAAATACGGCATTTTAAATTTTGAGAAATTTATCTGTCCTCTAGATTTTAAGGTGTGCCAGCATTTCATATCAATACACTATTTACAATCTTATTTTATAGGTCTGTGGTTATTTCCCCTTTTCTAGTTCACGAATTTATTTCTCTCATCTGTTTTTTTCCCTGATCAGTTTTTGCAGTGTCTGTCTTGTTAATGTTTTCAAATAACTAGGTATTAACTTCATTGATCCTTATTGTAGTGTTTTTGTTCTGTGGATTATTTGGTTTTGATTGATGGTGATGGTTCTATTTTCATTAATACTTGCCCTTATTTTACTATTTTCTCTTTTTTCTTTGCATTTGCTAGGTAGCTCTTTTTCTAACCTCCTGGGTATAATGTTTATTATTGTTTAACTTTTTTCTTGTTTTCTGAAAAAATTATTCCAAATTGTAAATAGCCTTCTAAGTTCTGCTTTAGCTGAATCCCTCAAGTTTGACATCTAAGTATCATTTTTATTCAGTTGTTAGTACTGTATTTCTTAATTTCCCTTATTATTTCCCTTTTAAACCTTGGGCTTTTCACTAACATTAATGTATTTCTAGACACCGTGGAATTTTAAAGTTATTTTTTGTCATTAATTCATAGTTTTTCATAGTTTCATTGCACTGTGTCCAAAGACATAGCCTGTATGATACTGATTCTGTAAGAGTAGTTGAAGATTCTTTTATGGCTCAACACACGGTCTGTTTCTGTAATTGTTCTGTGCATGCTTCCGCAGATATGTGTATTTTCTGTCTGATACAGAGTTCTCTTATATCTATTACTTTGAGCTTATGGTGGTGGTAAAGTCTTTAGTATCTTTTTTAAACAATCTCTGTTTTATTATTTTCTGAGGGAGGTGTGTTAAAATTTTTGTTCTAGCTTGTTTTCTTAGCCATAGTGGCATTCCTTAACTTTCTTACCCTGTAACTCCAACAAAGTGGATGAAAGCGTTCAGTGGTCTGGTTGAATCTGGGAAAAGAGGTCTTACACTGAATGTCCTCTCTGGGGGACCCCAGAGCACTTCTGCAGAATCCCCAGTTGGCATTTCTGTAAACCTTGTACTATGATTTCTTATCACCCACCCACCAACCCAAAGAACTTTCAATTGGCAGCCAAGTGGGTGCTCACATTCTTCTCCTCACTCTACCACCGTATATGCTTCTGCACTTGCTAGTCCACCTATAGGATTCTTCTCATAAGTAAGTTCTATACCTTGTTTGAAACCTTTGCAAATTCTGCTGCTTCTATGAAATCTCTTCTAGAAGTAACAGTTCTTAAAACTGTAAAAGCAGTTACGGCTCATACAATTAATTTAGTATTTATTCAGTGACCAGCCCCTATAGTGATTGGAACTTCTATTTAAGTAATGGTAGTTGTCTAATATTTATTGTATTTGTTTGTTTCCCTTATGTTGCTATGTAAGCATCTTGTAATGTGTGTCTTATAAGTCTTTATTTGTTAAAATACCCACATAGTGTCTTGTTCTTGGTAGTTGACCAAAAAAAGCACTTTGAGCTTATTTACTTCAGTGTTAATATGACTTTATTTTTTTCCTATATAGAAGGCAGTTTTGTTACATTGCAAGACCTGTATCTTACTGTACTTTGCTAAATGTGTTCTTTATTATTTAAGCTTTACCCATGAAAGTAAGATTCTTTTCAAAATCATTGTAAAGCAAACAGATTCATTCTTTCTAAAATAAGCAGCCATTTATATGGTTAATTCTTTTAAAGTATTTTTATGATTTTAAAATGTACCTACTCTCCTAAGGCAGTATTTGTTAGGTCTGGTAAAGTGATGCGATGGCTAGGTGGTTTTCCTCCCCATCCCCCTTAACACTAATTATTTGAGTTCAGCTTTGAATTTTCAGGGTTCCCTATAAGGATAGTGGACCTAAGTCAAGGATTAGCCTGAGTGTAGAGTTCCAGGATAGTCAAAATCTACCAACTGGTTATTCAACTGATAAGATGATTGCATCATACCATAGTGGAAGGTGTCAGGCTTTGAGCCCCAGAAACACACCTGGCCTAAGCTAGTGCTTTGTGGGGGACAAGACATGATTAAAGTAGTATCATTCCCCGCACTGATCTGCCAGTGTGATTTTGTGCACATAATCCACACAAGTGAAGCACAACCAGCCAAATCCTAAAATAGGTAATTTAGACCAAAGAGTAGAGGTAGCAAGCAGAGACAAAAGATTGAATAAAAGATTTATAGAATACCTGTAAGCCATGAGCTAGCTATTAAGTCCTTTAACGGGTACTTTGACTTCATTTTCTCAACATCCATGAAGTGGGTATTACCATGCCCATTTTACACAGGAAGAAATGGCATTCCAAAGAATAAAATAATGTATTAATTATTGGACATTGAGTAAATGGTTGATTTGTGTATTGAATTCAGATCTGACAGCTAAACCAATATCCTTAATTCCCCTTGTTTTACTCACTTAACGTAAAATATTCTTCTATACCATTTGTATAGTTTAAAGAAATATAATTATTTAGAATTGTTGATTTTTTTTTTTTTTTCCTACTGGAATGCAAGTCCATGAGAATAGGGACCATGCCTGTTTTGTTCAGCATGACATCTCCAGGACCAAACACTCTCTTGGCACACAGCTGATGCTCAGTATATATTCTTTGTTTCCCACCCACCCCCCTCTGTTTTTGAAGGGGATAGGGAAGCCAGGGTTTCTCCCACTTTGTGTTGACTGTCTTAGGTAAGAAAATAATGCACAGAAAGTCTGGGCCAATGTGAACCTGAACAATCAGAGAAGGTTTTATTGGTAAACTAAACTTTTTAAACGGAGATGGAATAATTAACTGTAACCTACCTATACATAAGGCTATGAATGACTTCAACTACTTCATTCTCAAAAAAAGGACCATCATGGTAAGAATGGGGACATGCTGATGCCTTTGTAATGTGGATTTAAGTGCTCTATTTAAATTTTTTTTACCCCCCCTTTTTTTTCAATAGAAAAAATCAGGCAAAGATATGCAGACCTACCTGGAGAATTGCACATTATTGAGCTTGAAAAGGATAAGAATGGACTTGGACTCAGCCTTGCTGGTAATAAAGACCGGTCGCGCTTGAGCATATTTGTGGTGGGAATTAACCCAGAAGGACCTGCTGCAACGGATGGGCGAATGCGTATTGGAGATGAACTGTTGGAGGTGAGGGACATAGATTTTTAATTTCTCTTTTGGTCAGGTGAAGGGGTGAAAGGGAATAGTACGCAGGAAAGTGAGGTGATGGTGAAGAATGTTACACATTATATCTTCTTCAACTATTCAAAATCATTTTCCAAAGGAAGAACAGGAATCATATTGTCGCTTGCAAATGTTATTTGCTACTTGAGTAAGACCTAATCTTGCAAAATAATTCAGGGATCCTTAAGTTAAAATCTAATGAAACCCTATTAAAAAGAATAGGATTTGTTTTTAACATAAATTCCAAAATGTTTAAAACTAAATTGTGTACTAATCTATTATTAGTATTTATCAAAATTCTCTTTAGCTTTAGAATAAACCATAAGTATGGCATTTGTTTTTGTTGTTGTTGTTTAGTTTTTTGGGAAGGTGTTAGAACCAACAGAACTTTGTGAACTGGGTGATAAGGCTTGGTTACTATCTGTGAAGTTGGTGATGTGGGTTAAGACCACATTGATTCCTTATTTAGGAACAGGATAGAGGTAAGAGAGGCTAAGGGGATGCTGGTCCTTTGCTAATTACTCGCTAGATGATGTCATCAGTAATCTTATTTATTCTTACTTTCCTCAACTTAAAGTCAGGTTTTCTGTTCCGAGTTGATCTCACTTTGATGTTTATTTGCTGTTTGAGTCCATCATTCAGCTAACGTTAGAGTGTCTCTTGGGACTGGACACGGGAAGAAAGATGAATACATCCAGTCCCTTCATTCAGAGAGCTCACAGCATAGAGGAAGGAAACAGACACGGAAAGGTTATTGTACTGCACAGTGCGGAATACAATAATCTGAAGCACAGCCGCGGCAGCTGATGCGTACTCAGTGTTGGGTACAGCCACCTCTTTTACTGGTGGGATTGCGAAGTAAACAGTGGTGCTGGGATTCAGTATCCGGCGGTTCAGCTTCTTAGCTTTTGTGAACCGGAGCACTCTGCAGCCTCTTGGATAAAACGTGCTAACACTTGGACATATGAAGGTCCAGAAATCACAGGAGCATTGAGTATCAGACTGCCCACTTAAAATGAGGGTTTCTGATTTTGCATTTTATGATTTCCTTGTCTGACTTTGACTCAGAATAGAATTCACAGTCTCCCATAATCTGATTTGCTTAATAATAAATACAGCCCAAACTGGTCAGACACAACTGCGAGACCGTTAGCATCATGCCTCTCTCCCAAGCCTCAGTAGTTTCTCCCCATCTTTTTTATTTAATTTTTTTTTAAAGATTTTTATTTGACAGAGAGAGACACAGTGAAGTGAGAGAGGGAACACAAGCAGGGGGAGTCGGAAAGGGAGGAGCAGGGAGCCCGATGCGGGGCCCAATCCCAGGACCCTGGGACCATGACCTGAGCCGAAGGCAGATGCTTAACCGACTGAGCCACCCAGGTGCCCCTCTCCCCATCTTAAAGCCATTTCCACAAAGAAGTCACTTCTGGAATTACCTTCCTTGTTCTTTTGTAATACAGCATCATGAAAGGGACCCACCTTGGGTAGTAGCAGTGACCAGCATAATCATTAAATACATAAAACTCAAAGTAGCAGTACGTATTAACCAATACAGTTCATCACTTCAAGTTTATTTCCTTTGGTTGATGCTTGGAGACTTCTTCAGTGATGAGACTAAAGTGATGGCGGTGGTCATCGAGGTGAAAGTGAAAACTAATTTACTGAGCTTAACTGGTACTTTACCTACATGCTCCCACGTTTGTATTCAGTATTCTTAAGAGACCTATCTGGTAAGTACTCGTACTATCCCCATTTTATGGAAAAGAAAACTGCATCAGTCACTTGTCTAATATTACAGAACTAAGTTACTAAGTTTCGGTAAGAACCCAGGCTTGCGGGCCTTAAAGATTCATGCTCTAACCACTGAAGTGTACCATGTTCCCCGTGGTACATCAGCCGAACCCCATTTGTTTAGATCCATGAGAATCTGATTTATGATGCTCTAGTCTTTAGGAAATCATGTGTATGAAGTTACTGTGTTGTGATATATGGACCTAGACATGGATTTCCTATATTGTGTGGTATATGAAAATGTTCCAAAGGCTATAATTTAGACCATGAAGATTCTAGTTCTATTCTCTCTATCTTACTAAGACTCAAGATGGAATAATGGCACGTGAGATCTAGACCAACAGGAGCACTGGTATTTTATTTCTCTGCCTGACATTGTGTTAGATGTGGGTAACAAATGAGCGGGGGCTGCAGAGCAATGAGGATGTGTTACAGTCCATACACAGAAGTCTCACTGGGTACAGGGCAGCAAGCACTGAACTTGGAAGAGCTGCTTTAACTTATCCCAGTTCTTTCAGTCATTAGCTGCATTTCAGAAGGGGCTTAATTAACACAGTGCCCTGCACATAGTTGACTGTTGATTAGATCACATTTCGTCCCTCCTAGACAGAAAATTTAGGTCTCTGTTTTCTAGGTGAGAGGCTGGAAGAGCTCTCTTGTCTGAAAAAGGATATTAACATCTTGCCACCCACCTACTCTTTTTTTTTTTTTACTTTCCAAATCTGACTCTTTTGTTGCTATTCAGCAACTTTATCTTCTTGCAGAGATGGAAAGAGCAAGAAGATCAAACATGGCAAGAAGTTGATCCTCCTCCACTCCCTATTGATTCTCTTGTCTAAAAAAAAAAAAAGATTGATAAATATATGTTGCAGCATACATTCTCGCCTTCCGTATCTTTAGCTAGTTACTTATCTTCTCTAACCCTCAGTTGCCGTAAGTAATGAAAATTACTTATTCAGCAACTATCTTGCTATGCATCTGTCACGTAGGAAGCAGTGTATAAACAAGGTGCTGATTTTACTTTGGTGAACAAAATCCATGGTACCTGTTCCCATAGAGCTTACAGTCTAGTAATTGTATAGCATTAACTTTAGAAAGTGTTCTGGGAACTAGTGAGAGAAAATGGGTCAAATTTTGCCATGGTATCTGGCACAAAGTAATACATTTCAGCTGATATTATTTGTAAAATAATATTTTCATCTGGATTTGTGTGTTTGGGGTTTTTATAGTTTGTTTATATGATTACACTTGTCTCTTAAAGTGAGTCCCAAAGGGAAGCCTTCATCTTCCTCAATAGCTCCATGTCGCATCTTGAAAAACTGAGAGAACGGAAAAATGCACAGACTGGATTCTTAAGCAGTTATAACCCATCTTCTCATGTGACTTTTGGCTTTTTCCAAAGTTTTGGCAAATTTGGAAAAAATTTGTGTGGGAAACATTTCCCTTGTTTCTTTTTATAGCTGAGAAAAAATTTTAATCATTCCTCTCTGATATGTGAGGAATTTGTGTATCGCGTGATATCAAATCCAGTGTCCTTTTGAACCGAGAATAGGAAATTGATTTAATGATGAGTACCAGGAAAGCTACAAGCCCATATTAAAATAGCCGTTCTTTGGATATTGCAGTGCGTTAGGTTGTAGAAGGACACTGCATTGTGTGGGAGGCTTATATAGGGGCCTTTTAGATTATACTTACTAGATTTCTGGGCTGGAGCAAATCTTGTATATTTGCTTACCCACCCACACTCCATTTATTTTTGTGGCTTCTCTATGAGGTCAAGTTATCCGTGTCTTGATTGTTTTTACAGATCCACCATTTATTCCTATTATTTCTCAGGACTGCTTTGTTGCTATTGTTATGTTCTTCCTCTGCTCTGAGCCTCCTTTTATTCATCACGGATTGGACTTACTTTCAGGCCTAAGGGGAGGCAAACTTATAGGACGTAGAAAAGAGCTGGGTCGAACATGCACGGTGGCTTCTTTGATGTCAGAAGCTCTGCTTCCTCTGCTTCCTCACGAGAGCCTGGCCGTGACTGATTTTCCGCACTCCCCCGACCAGCAGTTTTGTTGCTGTGGGACTGCATTGTTAACGGTGCTGGAGCAGCCAGCGAGTTCTGTCGATCGATGGCCCAGTTCATGTATAAAAGAAATTTTAAATTAAGCCCCCAGAAGACAATGTGATTAAATCTCAGCTTCCTTACCCTTTACTGCGATGCTGGTGTGGGGGCTTCTGAATTCATTTCAAAAGGCATTAGCATATAATTACCATGTAGACTGGAATGAGACTTGCACCAGAGTATTGGCCTTCCCTGAGCAATTAGTCCCAGAAAATACACAGGTCTGGGCATGGTGCTGTCATATGAATGTAGGATTTATTTATAATCTTCCCTACGGTGCAAGTGCAGGAAGAGCGAGTAGATACCGTTGCATGGGGAATTGGAGTGATTTGTCGGGTTACAGAAGCAGCTGGGGGCAGCACGAGCCAGTACCAGTGATGGGGCTAGCATAGAGAGCTGAGTCTCTCTGCCCCCCACACCCTGCAAGATGGAGGCCGCGCATCCCCTTTGAAACATTCACCTGCAGAATAGCCAAACCTAAGTGTTGTTATTTTCCAAGTGTCTAATATGTTTACTTAAGAATCACTACAAATAAAAAGCACGAAGGCTTCCCGTATTTGCAGAGGGATGAAGACGTAGAACCAGGTAAACTCAGATCTTATTGTCTCGTTATGTTTATTTAAGAAGAGAAAAAAAGCCTGAAGCCATAAAACGTCAATGAGTGGCCCAGATCCATGGAGCTGCTTCAGGACAAAGCTCCTACCTCAGGGCTCTATACACCACCCAGTCTCAGCACCTACTCTTCACTCTCTGCTTCTTGACAGTGAATTATTCTTGAAATCTTTTAGAAGACTTCAATGTGATTTAGAAGCGCAGGAGAACAGTAAACAAGTCACTAGCTTTTGTGCATCCATAGATAAGATTCTTTCTAATTTTCAGTCAAAAGCATCTGTCATCTTAGATTGGCTCTTTTAGATTATTACCGTACATGGATGTAATTTTATAAAGTGTGCTTCTTGATGCAATAATTATGCCCTAAGAGTCCTCGGGTTATAAAATATCCCATTGTAGAAACACTAGTTTGAGGAGCAGAAAGAAGACTAAAGGATTGGCAAAA